ACCGATACGGGTGGAAGCCGAGTGCGCAAACGAGAATGTGTTCGTGTGGGTATTATATGCAAGATCTAGATGCACAAAGATTGGCACGAGTATGACTTGTTGACTCTTCGTGTTCGTGACTGTCGCGGGCAGAGAGGGGCACGTGCTAGCGCCAAGGCTAGCGCGTTTTTCTCAGTGCAATTTCCTCCAGCCTCCATCAAAAACTGCAGCCGTCCCTCTTTCTCTCAACACAACACCTTCGATTCTCCCATACCATACTCGCTACCACATCTGCAACTATGGGTTTCACCGATCTCGTTTCCGAAGCAGGCCTGACTCTCCTGAACAACTATGTCAAGACCCGCAGCTACATTGTTGGGTAAGTTCCTACCCCGCCATACACTTCCCTCCGCTTTGTACCTCCCCTGCATTGCGTCGCACCCCCAAGTTTTCATGATGAGAACAATTGGTCCGTGTTAATGAGGCGGCTTAAGACCCCGCTATCTGAATACAAAACCACGCGCTTGTCGCAACTCTGATCTATCTTCCCTCCTTCTCCCTCTTACCCAGACACGATGAAGGAGTCATTGGCTAACATGCCCCAGCTACTCCCCATCGCAGGCCGATGTAAAGGTCTACCAGCAAATCAAGCAGATCCCCGCGCCTGAGAAGTACCCATACGCATGGCGCTGGTACAACCACATGCTCACCTTCGAGGGCGAGTTCGACTCCCTCCCTGGTGACCCAACCAAGGACTTCACCGCCTACGGCCCCGAGTCCTCCGAGCTCACCCTCAACCCTGCCAAGGCACCTGAGAAGGAGGCTGAGGATGACGACGATGAGGTCGACCTGTTCGGCAGCGACGACGAGGAGGAGGACGCCGAGGCTGCCAGGGTCAAGGAGGAGCGTCTGGCCGAGTACAACAAGAAGAAGGCCGGCAAGGTCAAGCCTGCTGCCAAGTCTATCGTCACTATGGACGTTAAGCCATGGGGTATGTGTCTTCCCATATTCGCTAACGGGCTTGCATGCTAACGTTGTTCAGATGACGAGACAAACATGGACGAGCTCAAGGCGAACGTTCTTTCCATCGAGAAGGAGGGTCTCGTCTGGGGTGCCTCCCAGCTTGTTGCTGTCGGTTTCGGTATCAAGAAGCTCCAGATCAACTTGGTCGTCGAGGACGACAAGGTCTCGCTCGACGAGCTCCAGCAACAGATCGAAGAGTTCGAGGACCACGTCCAGTCCACCGACATCGTTGCCATGCAGAAGTTGTAGATGCTTCTTGTTGGCGCGCCCTTTTTATGACCTTTTGATGAAGACTATGCATGATCATGACGGACGGTTTCACGTCTTTATGAGCAGTTGCTAGACGAATACCAAAAATCACGACATGGTAGAGATACCACATCCCACTGCGGGACAACAACACATCTTGACAATGTACTTGTGACTTGATGTATCACATAGGACAGGCATGGACATTTGATAACGGTAAGCCTGATGAGTGCGCGGCTCGTATCCATAAGGACTGGCCAAGTCGAGTAGTAACGGTAGGTGGGCTAGCGCAGCGGCAAGTGTTAGTACTTGGGCCGCGACACGGAGAATGGTGTGCTGCCAGACCTAGACATCAGCGGCTGCAACGTTGACTGCCAAACATCGATTTATAAAGTCCGGCTCGGGAGCATGCCCCTTATATACAAAGGACGAGGGAAGGCTTGGCTCGCTGCTTTCTTAGTCATGGTCGATGTGTTCGGGCGTTCCACGGCGCCATGATGGCTAACCATCCATCAACACCAACCACACAACTCGCTCTAAACGCCGCGATCAACACCATCAGTCTGTACGAATCCCACCAGTTGAGGATATAAAGTAGCATAGGATTTATACGAAACATTGGCAACCTCCCCTTATGACTCGCAAGACTCGCATGTTCCGCTCTAGCGAATGACAATGTCTCTTTCGTCGGTGCATTTTTATATCCCCGATGATCGCGCTCTAGGATCAACATTGTTGTGGAGTTCGGCGCGGAGGAACGGACGTTCAACATACTATACTGACCGCTAAACATGTGTGAAGAATGGAATATGTATAGTATCGGGTCGCAGCATCCGTTGTTGCACTGGACTCATTGTAGTCATCTTGAACGACAAAGAACCGCTACATGCAGAAGATGGCTCAGCGAGATGCTAGCCCAGACAGCTTCGCACAGGTCCAAGCCGGAGCTCGAGAGAGAGACAACGAGAAGGACGGTGGTGTACTTTGTACAGGATCTTCTTCAAGCGTAACGGCCACCTCAACCTCACGTACCTCCCCATCCCAGACAAATCCTCAGACCGACGTCGAAGCCCTCCGCCACGATGCCTCGTCCTTGGACCGCGTCCACACGTCAAAGAGCCAGCATTCGCAAACAGTCGGCGACGGCGCCCGTGGTGGCCTCGGTATCTTCCGCAGCAGGTCTACGCGTTCTCGCCCACTACCAGCGTTCGGCGCAGGGAAACCGTATCCTCGTCCTCTCGGCAACCAAGAAGACTATGTCGTCGAGTTCGATGGAGAAGATGATCCGTTGCATGCGCAGAATTGGGCGTTGGGGAAGAAGTTGTTTACTGCGCTTATGTTGGTACGTTAGGTCGTCCGGAAACATGACGCGTCAGCTTTCAGTTGATGGATGTAGACTAACTCGAAGTGCTGTATGTCTAGGGATTTACGACAGTCACAGCATCATTCGCTAGTTCGATATTCAGTACCGCGACGAGAGCAATCGAGCTACAGTTCAACGTCGGCTATGTGGTCGCTACACTGGGTACATCGTTGTACATCCTAGGATTCGCCACGGGACCCGTTCTCTGGGCACCTTTCTCAGAGCTCAAAGGAAGGAGATTGCCGCTTGTGGTGGCATCGTTTGGCTTCTCGGTCTTCAACATTGCGTGTGCGACGGCCAAGGATCTGCAGACTATCTTGATCTGTCGATTTTTCGCGGGGTTCTTTGGCGCGTGTCCGATTACCGTGAGTATTTGTGCGAATGCTTGATAGATGGGACAAAGGTGCTAATATGGACATAGATCGTTGCCGCAGTCTTCGCCGACATGTTCGCCAACAGGACGCGTGGAATAGCGATCTGCCTGTTCAGTGTAATGGTCTTTACAGGTCCTTTCCTCGCTCCTTTCATCGGCGGCTTCATAGTCATGTCGAATTCCTGGCGATGGACTCAGTACCTTGTGTAAGCAGTTCCTCGTTCTTCCCCACAAACCACAAGAAACACCTATACTAACCCTTCCATCACAGCTCTTTCATGGGTTTCGCCTCCTTCACCCTCATGCTCCTCTTCCTCGACGAATCCTACCCACCCATCATCCTCGTCGCGAAAGCCGCCGAACTGCGCCGCCGCACAAAGAACTGGGGCATCCACGCCAAGCAAGAAGAGATCGAAGTCGATTTCCGCGAACTCATCGAGAAGAACTTTTCGAGGCCGCTTAGGATGCTGGTCACGGAGCGTATTGTGCTGCTGCTGAGTATATACATCGCTTTCATCTACGGATTGCTGTATCTCTTCCTGACAGCCTATCCGATCGTATTCCAGGGGGTCCACGGTATGAATCCGGGTGTGGGTGGTTTGCCGTTCTTTGGAATGATCATCGGGGAGTTGTTCGCTGGAGTGTTCATCTTTGCGAGGCAGCCGGGGTACCAGAAGAAGCTTGCTGCTAACAACAACGTTCCCATCCCGGAATGGCGGCTGCCAGAGGTCATCGTGGGTGGTGTCGCTTTTGCGGGAGGTCTATTCTGGTTCGGATGGACCGGATATCGCGCGGACATCCACTGGATCGTGCCTACGTGCTCTGGATTGCTAATCGGATTCGGTATCATGAGTATCTTTTTGCAGTCGTTCAACTATATCATCGACGCTTATCTCATGGTAAGAAGAACCCGGGCCTCCACATATCCAAGTCTGTGCTGACATGTCATCTAGTTTGCCGCTTCGGCGATCGCAGCGAACACGTTCCTTCGTAGCATATGGGGGGCAGCGTTTCCTCTCTTCGCGAAAGAGATGTTCGAGGGTATGGGCGTTGAATGGGCTTCGACTCTACTTGGATGTTTCGCTGCTGCGATGATACCTGTGCCAGTTTGGTTTTACCTCCAAGGTGCGAAGATCAGAGGTAAGAGCGCGTATGCGCCGACGAGTAAGCCGGCGTCCGCGCCTTCGGAGGAGTGAAATGGACGAGATGCGCAACGGATGTATCAGCACGGCTAGATAGTTTGCACCACCGCATGCAACTCAGCGATAGCCAATTTATACAAACATTCTTGACCCTGAACAAAGTTGTATATCAAGAATTGCAGAATGAGCCGATAAAGTTGACATCCGCAACATCCGCCATCACGCTACGCACCACGCCGGCGGACCCTTCCTGCACGCCCGCCTCTCCCCTGCGCAAGCGCCCTCGCACCCAAACCCACCTGCAAACTCCACTTTCTTCTCACCCCCAACGCACAACCCACCACCATCGTCCGTCCATGGGAAAACCCTACCCCGCATCTCTAACTGGCCCAGCACATGTCGCAGGTTGCGCGCTTACGCCACAGATGTCAACGGGCAAAGATGGGCTATTGGCCGGCATTACCGCCTTGTTTCACGCTGTCGATCCTTTTACCCCTGGGCTGGTGGATAGTTATGGGAAAGGCGGATTCGCCTACATGCCTTAAATTAGATGGGAGATGCGATGGAGGGAGGGATCCTGGTAGGGTATGATGACATTGTGTGAGGCTGTGCTGAGGTTCTTGCTTTCTGTTACTTTCACTTTGACTTCGGCTTTCGCTGTCTGTCTCTTGTTGCTTTCCTGGTGAACTTGCGCGATACGGGTCGACTCTTTCTTTAACGGCATTCTGTTTGTTGCGCGTATCTGCGATTTTGTGACTGCGATTTGGACTTCGCGACACCACATCACGACTCTGCGCATGCTGGCCTGACGCGCTTACACTTCTTCGACACCACCACAACCACCCGAACAGAGAAGAGCGAAGACACCACCATGGCGTTCAACTGTTCCACCGTCCCCGAGACGACAAACACCGACGCGGGAGTAGCAGGTGCAGGCGTACGTCCCCCTCCTCCCAATCCTCCTCTCCTCCCGACTAACACCAACCCCCCAGACCCTCCTCTCCTTCATAATAACCAACATCCTCTCCATCCTCCTCTCCGCCACCATCATCCTACTCGGCCTACGAAAATCCACCTCCGCCCCCATCAGCCGCAAACTGCTGCAATCCTTCTCCGACCAACAGATCCTCACCGGAATCGGCATCCAATCCGTCGGCCTCGCAAAGATGAAAACAATGGTACCCTACCACTTCTTCATCATCTGGCTCCTCTCCCTCCTCTCCACCGCCACAAACCTCGCCACCCTCCTCGCCCTCGTCAACGACTTCAAGCGCGACTGGGTGCTACGCTGGATCCGGCAAATCCTCATGCTCGTAAACATGTTCCTGGGCATCCTCTCTGGGGTATTCATCCTACAGACGGTCATGAAAGACATGGAGCCCAGATTACCGATTGCGTGTGTGTGGGAGGTAGAGAGCAAAGGCCGGAGCGGAAACGCCGCGCTTTCCATCGCCGGCACCATCGCCGTCATCGCAGGCCAAGTCATCACATTCGGCTTCGCAACATGGTACCTGCACAACCGCTCCAACCCCAAATGGCTCAAAACCGTGCAAGTCGTCGGTCTCTTCGCCTGTCTCGCCATGGGCGTCGGCGCTACTATACGCGTCGTTCTCGAGTCCCAGGCTTTCGGTCATCCACCTGAGTCCGTTCATCTTGTTGGGCCTTCCGAGGGAAACTGGAGTTTTGGGCAGTTGTTACCGTTGCTGTTGTTGGCGTTGCCGGTGATTAGTACGATTGAGATTGCGAGGGGGGAGGAGCTTAAGCCGAGGAGTAGGGTTGATGATGATAGTGTGCCGCTTTTTGCGGGCGGGGGTGGGAATGATATGGAGTTTCAGCCTAATCCGCTGGTGGGGAGTGCGACGAGTTTGTTTAGGAAGTAGAGAGAGGGGGAGATGGAAGGCGTTTTGGATGTGTGTTTGTGTGGACTTTTGGATAGATACCCTGCGAGTGAGATTCAAACATCTTTATTTCGAAATCTTTGGCACGTTCAACACGCATTACGATATCTTGTGACAAGCGACCCTTACTAATTTCATTTGAAGTTGCAGCTGCAATCGCGGACAAATAGCCTTCCGTTTCGCCGCCAAGAATGCTCTACAATTACGTGATATCTACTCCTATCCCAAGACAAAAAAGGCGATCCCGTTCTTCCCAGCAACGCCAATGGACGCCTGACGTACGTGTTGCCTAACCCTCAAGCCACCTTGTGTCGCCATAGTGATGCTTTTAGTACAAAAGAAGAAGTGAATCAACAAATGAGAGAAGAAAGCTACATATCCGTGATCATAGCTTGGTCATCTTGACGCTGACCCTCCGCTACGATACCAAGAAGACGGGCGTATGGGACTGTTATACGCTGGAGGTCGCGGTGTTTTCCTGCGTAAGAAGTTAGTCTACTGGATTTGCCATGTCGTAGAAAGGACGAGAAACTTACCTAGAATCAACACAGCCTCCTTGAGCAACTCCTCCCTCTTCCAACCACAAATCTCCTCGGGCTCCTTCATTGCTTCGTCTTGCTCGTCGTTGCCTTCTTCCTCTTCTGATACCAGACTACCCATAAGACTGCGTAGGAGCTCCTCGATCTTGCCTTTGAGACCTTCGGCGCCGAGACGCTTGACGTACATGGTGAGGTAAATCTTGAACTCTTCTCTTGCGCCCAGTGTACGTGCAGCAGCGACACGGTTCTCAAGATGAGCAACGCTAGCCGAGCTTTCAAACGTCTCGTAGCCTTCTGCAGAGACGAGGATCTTGATGAGGCGCTGGAGGTGGAAGGCACGACCTTGTAGTAGTGATTGGTTTGTTGTGTTGCGCTCGAGCGCGGGGATGATGCCTGCTGAGATGTTTTCCATGGAGACCTGATCGTCTTTTTCTTTGGGTGCGGCGTTCTTGTCTTTTGAGGAGCGGATGTTACCGACGGAGGAATCGGTGGAGTTCCAGTACTGACTTGTGACGCCCCACCAGGGTTCGGATATGCGTTGCCAGATGTACATGTCGGGGTTGTAGGCGTAGCCCTCGCCGTTGGACATGGCTACTGTGATCCGACCTGCTGAGTTCAGACGTGCGAAGACGATACCGGGGGACCGGGTGAGATGGGGTCCTTGGGCGTAGGCTGCGACATCTAAGATGGGTGCTAGAGAGATGGGTGGGTGGGGTGCAGACATGGTCTTCAGATTCCAGACATAGCACATGCCGACTGCTGTTATGCACATTAGCCACCAGCCGCGGCAGTCCATGATCACTGGTTGAGCCTCTAAAACCATGGCATTGAGCGTCCGTCGGCCGGCTGGCGTCCATGCGTATACTGATCCGTCCTCGCATGCTGCTGCGAATAGGTTTGTGTTGCCCGTCACCAAGAGCACAGCCTTTGGTAAGAAGTCTTGCCAAAGTGACTGTCCTTTGCTGGTGCATGTCAACCGCGTAGGGTCGTGGTCTTGTGGCCGTCCCGTCCGTGATGGTCCGCTGGCATTGCGCGCTTCTAAAACGACCGTGTCTGGTATTTCCGCTTTGCCTGTGCTGGCGTCGACACCACTCTGCGGTGGCTCGCTGCCGTCCATAGTTCGCACGATGACGCTTCTCACTTTCGGCACGGCTAACCGCACTTGGGCAAGGGCCATAGAAGGGTTGACGATGGCCGGTCTGAGGACTTTCGGAGGCTCTGTCATTTCGTTGTTCTTAGCAGCTGCAGCAGCGGGAGGGACAAGACCATTTTCACTGTTTATCACGATTGCTGCGCCTCCAGGCTTCACCGAACCAGCCAGTCTTTTCTCCACTTGGCGGTCCTCATCGCCTTCGATCTCGGCGAATTTCCGCTTGTTCCCGATCAGCATGGACGCAAGTCCGCCTCTCGGGAAACCATCGTAGGGCTTTGAAAGGTCTAGAATGTTGTGGGGATTGTCACTCCTGCCGCCTGACGTCGTCGTCGCAGAAAGGAGCTGTGTTTGAGGTAACGAGGACTCGCCAACGCCAGACGAAGATGACATGAGCATAGGTGCTATACGCTTCTTGCCATCCTTGGTGACAGTCACTCTTTGCTTGAGCTTCTCAACCCTCACGTCTGGGGGTGGCTCAGCTGGGGCTTGTGGTGGTGCTGCGGCGCCCGATCCATTGGTAAGGGTTGTTGAGGGAGTGACGCCGTTGGTGCCGTTCGTGATAGTCGGTGGTTGAACGGCGCCTCCATCGCCCATCAGTGCACCCATCCTTCCTTGAACACCCTTCAGCTCCCCACTCTTACTGCTCTCTTCTAGAAGTAAGGCGTCTGTGCCTTCAATGATACCAACTCTTCTTCCGGCACCGAACTTAGCGAGTGTCTTTTCGTTTTCCGCAAATGTCGCTGGGTAGCCGAGTTCTCCGGGTTCGAAAACAAGAGTCATTATGCTGCCGTCCAAGCTCGTTGCGTATAGTGTCTCTCCGTTTGGTGACCATGCCAAGTCGGAGATGGATTTGCTAGCCAATTCTTGCGAGCACATGAACGGCCTGGGGAAGCTCGTATTCCACACACTCAGGCATTTGTCTTGTCCGGCGCAAGCGACAATAGTTACCGTCTGCTGATTAACGGTTCCGTCTTTCTCTGGCCGTGGCTCATCCCGGTAGAACAGCCTTGGAGAGAATGAGGTTACTTCGACAGGCCCTTCGTGGCCGACCAGACTGATGTCTCCATCCCAGGTTCCACGCGCAAGAATAGCGACTGAGCTGACTGGTCCATTTGTAGCGTTTGCAGCAGCGATATGTGCGCCGTCGGGTGACCACGAGCAGCGGCGGAAGTATGTGGTGAGCGGGGAGGTTTGGAAGGGTGCGGTTATGGTATGGTCCAGGACGAAGTTGTTGACCTGGTCTTGCTGCGAGGCGTTCGGGGGCGGGGAGTTGAACCGGTAGACTTTGATGGTGCGGTCATCGCTAGCCGTAGCGAAGTATTTGTTGGCGGGGTCAAATGTTATGCCCTTGACGTGACTCTGGTGGTTTGATAGCGTCTTCAGCTTCTCAAAGGAATGCCCAGACCAGACTACCACTTTCGAGTCCAACCCCACCGACACCAATATTGACGAGTCAAATGACCAGCCCAGATCTTGTACGTCGTTGTCGTGCCCTATCAGGCGGCGAATGACGCGCCAATTCTCGACGGGCGGCGGTTCGTTCGATCCTGTAATTCCATCAGCCTGCGTCCCTTTTACCTGCCTAACGTATACCCACCAAATGCTGTATGTGTCGGCGCATTCTTGTCGAGCGCATAGACACACACTATCTTGTCGTCGGCGCCAGACGCCAGGTATTTGCCGTTGGAAGAGAAGCGGACCGCATGGATGGTGCCGGAGTGGTTGCTGACAGCTGCGAGCTGCTTCGGCTTCGTATACGAGGGGTCGTTGGAATTCAGAATGGCCTCGGTAGACCAGACACGTACATAGCCGTCTATAGATGCGTGTTAGCAACATTCTGAGGTGAAGCGCATCCCGTGGGAATCGAGGGTGGGTTGACGAACCTCCGGCGGCTGTAGCCAGGCGCGATCCATCAGGGGAAACGTGGCAGCTGTATACTTCGAAGTCTTTCTGTTCGCCTAGTAGGAATGCATGTCAGTAAGATGCTAGCAGAAAAGGGCATGCATGCGCGGGTGCACCCACCGGGATGAGTTAACCACTGTGGTTTAATGAGATGCATGGTCGCGTAGGTGTCGCTAGCAGTTGAATCATGCTATTACGCGACCATGAAAGTAGTATGAGGAGTATTGGGTGCGGCGGTGGAGGGTTGGTGGTTGAGGCGCACGTTGTGGTGCAGCGCGACAGTTGTCTGGTGTTGGCGACGCGATCTCGCGGTTGACGCTACTTGGCAGACGTTTGGGCAGGGGTTTAAGGTTTAGGTGCATGCGCCGATCGGGAAGTGGATGTTAAACGAGCAGCTCACGGTTGGAGGGAATCAAGCATCAAGTGTATTTAGAGTATGGCATGTGTTTGTGATAATACAGTGAACTTGGTGTTCCTTCACCTTGGTCTCTCTGATTCTCTGCGAGGCAGCCCTGGACAAGTCTCAAGTCCTACTTGCACTCTCCGCTCCACCATTGGTTGCCCCTTCACAAAGACACCTAAAAACAGTACTACACTAGCTAAATGCAGCTCTTCCGCGAGAGCTTGTTCATTTGCGGAGTCATTCGGACCCTTGTGGTGGATGGTCATGATATCCTGCTGCATGCGCATGCCCATACTCACCATTAAAACTCATTTGAAGTTGCCCCGGACTTATTGCGAAATTCCACTCTCGACTGTAGTCCAAGTTGGAGCTGAGATAGGCGAGGTTCAGGAGGAGATCGGTAGCAGCGTGAGCGGTTGGTGCAGATGTTGTGGGTTGTGTCGCTAGTTGTGTCGTTCATTTCGCCTTCTTCCTCTTCTTAAACACCACAGCCGGAGCAGCTGGCGCGTCCTCTTCTGTCTTGACAACAGTCTCAGCAGCCTTCGCCTCCGCTTCCTCGGCCGTGGGTATATCCTGAAGGGTGTTCGTGCCGCTGTCATCTTCAACTTCGGCTTTCACTCCATCCTCTTGGTCTTCTTTCTTCACTTCAGCCTGTGGCTTCTTTTTCCCAAGCAAACTCTCGATATCGTCGTCGCCGCCCTTGCTGCCTGGGAAACTCTTGTAGGTATGGCCCCAGCCCTTCCGTTTCGTGATCAGCTCACCAGCAGCTTCCCGTTCCTCCTCATCCTCGTCAAGTTGCCTCTTCCGTACGCCCTTGTTCAACGACGTCGCCTTGAACTCTCCATCTTCCGTCACTTCTCCCACGACTTCTTCCTTGACCGTCTTCCATTCACCTGCTATCGCCATATCGCCTCTTGCGGCCGCAGGAAGCGCCACGCCCATGGCTGCTAACTGCTCCCATTGTCGTTTCCTGTCATCTACTGTCGCCTTCTGTTGTGGTTTCTTCTCATATGTAGGTTTGCCGCCTACGCCGGTTGCGACGGAAGGTGTGGATGCGGATGGTACGAGGCCATTTAGACGTGCGACCTCTGCTTGTGCGCGCGCCTGGTTGCGCTTTTCGTTCTCTTGTTCGCGATGGAGCCCCTTGAGACTGCGCTGGATGTTGCCTTGGTGGCGGCCGGTCGCTTCGTGTTGCGCGCGTTCGAACTTGGTGTCCTTCACAAACGTGGAGCAGAACTTGCACCAGTATTTTGGCTGTAGCTTAGTTAGTGTATGACGCGCTTATCAGGCCTAGTCTTACTTACTGTTGACTTCCAGTACTCCGCCATGGTCGTGTGTCGTGGAGTGACGTGCAACCAGCGACAGTCGGGGAAAGCTTACCTGGCGCACGGTGCACCTCGGCGGTCCGCAAGGCTAGAAAAGACGAGTTCGCATAGCGTGAACCACGGCTGCGGGTCTTTCACCGCTCTCCACCCCAAACCCTAATCGCTCTTCACATGTCTTCTAGCTTATTTCCTTCTTGGTCAAAGTTTTCGACTCGATTTTCCATATTTAGCAGGCCATGGCCCCGCCATCAGATTCTTGCACGTCGTTGCGATGACTAAGAAGAGTATAGATGTGCTTGAGGGACACCGGGTAGCAGCAGAAAGCAAGCCCTTATTATCATCACGCCCTTCCCACCTACTGACTGGTCGACTACACCAACATGGCTGAGCTAAAGGATGCCACACGCCTTAGCGAAGCGCGTGAACACAATCTCTTGCCGCCTTAGCCGTCACTCTCTATCCTGTCTGATCGTGTAGACAGTGTCCCTCTGTAACACTTCGCACTTCCATGGAGCCTCAGATGGCTGTGTCACTGGCTTCAGCTGTCATACAACTTGTCGACTTTTCGAGGAAAGTGGTCCAAAAAGACAAGGTGGGCAAAGTATACAAATCCACCGGCACCACCCTAGGAGAGGCTACACTGCTCGATGACGCCATCGCTAATCTCGGCGACTTATCACAACAACTTGAGAAGGCACGACGCGTATACTGCAAGTCACACATATCCCCTGATCAGGAAATTGCAGATGCGCAACTGATAGCATTGGCGAAGGATGCTGGGGGAGTGGCGAAGATCTTACAGGCCACACTGGATCAAGCGAAGCGCGACAATGACGTGGATCAGCAGAAAGTACTTGCACAAGAACTACGCAGCGTTCTGAGCTTGTACTACAGTCAGAAGACGATATGTGATCTTGCGGATAAACTTGGCTCTATTCGCAAGCAAGTAGATGTCGCTCTGCTTGCCTCGCTCCGGTCAGTGAGATGTCACCAATGCGATCACCCATTGACCAGATCATAGACAGCATGCGGCTCAACAGCATTCAGTCCATTCGGAGAAAAGACGGCTTCCGGTGGACGGCAGTACAGGACCTGATATACTCCTGCTTCAGTCCATCGCGCATCACGATTGGAAGACTACGGAGACGGTTGGTATCTCGGCGTTTTCAGATACATTCGACACTTCCGTCGTAAGCAATGATATCGAACGCCATTTCGCCAGCTTGATGTTGGCGCGCTTGCATTTCTCTGGCATGCACGATCGGTACAAGGCGATTCCTATTGCGCACCCAGGAACCTCGCAATGGATATTCGATGCAAGTCTCGAACACCACAACACTGATGACTTCGACTCCTTCCCTCGCTGGCTCACAGCAACAGGATGTAGCAATACATATTGGATCAGTGGCAAGCCAGGTACCGGGAAGAGTACGCTGATAAAATTCGTGTCTAGTCACCCTCGCACCGCCACTCACCTGAGCGCCTGGGCCAAAGGAAGAACACTTGTCAAAGGAACCTTTTTCTTTTCGAGTCTGGGTAATGACATGCAAAGATCGCGTATGGGGCTTCTACAAACCTTGCTTCACTCTGCGCTAAAAGGCGACACGGAGACGGTGATCCAGGTCTTTCATCATCGCTGGCAACAATTCCTTGCTTCTGGTGGAGGTAGACGACCTTTCACATGGCTTGAGCTGCGTCAGGCCTTCATAACAATGATCTCCGCGCCTATCACACCAAGATCATTCTTCATCGCGATCGATGGCCTGGACGAGTTTGATGGCAACCTGAGAGATGTTCTTCAATTGATCAAGGACTTGGCTAAATATCCATATGTCAAAGTTTGCGTTGCCAGTCGGTCTTCATCAGAGCTTCTGCGCGCATCTGCAGGCCAGCCTAATCTACGCCTTGAACGTTTGAACCGCCAGGATATCTGCAATCACATCACGGCCTCACTGGCAAAATCGCAAGTATACGTTAATGTCAGCAAAACGGATCCCAGTCGCGCTACGAATCTGGTCAAAGGTGTAGCCAAGAAGGCAGCCGGTGTCTTTCTCTAGGCACACATCGTGGTGCAATTATTACTTGATGATCTGTCACCTACAGCCCGCATGGTCAGTCTTGTTGCTTGGCTCGAGACGTTACCATCTGGACTAGAACAACTATTCATCAAACTTCTCGGACGTCTGAACACGGGACATCTGAAGCACGCGTCGGAAGTCCTCCGTCTGATGACGATAAAGCCACGGCCCCTTCTGCTCGAGCTATGGTTTGCAGACGGCAACAACGAGAACGCGGCATTGAGGGATGAAGCCCGACCGCTGTCAGACAATGAGATATCCGAGCGTCTCGAAATGATGAATCGCGGACTGGTTTCCCGATGCAGAGGATTCCTGGAGACAGATAGCCAGTATGGAAGTGCAAGGTCTGGATTGTCAAAGGGTAGGCTGGAGTTCCATCACAGATCCGGTCATAGCTAACCACCTATAGCGTCTCGTGTTACCTGGACACACCGCATTGCGAAAAACTTTGTTCGATCCCAACGAATATGGAACATCATACTCGATAACACCGGGCATGATGCTTTCGATCTTGAATGGCACTGGGCCAACGGTCAACTAGGTTTATTCAAGACTGTCGCCGGGACCACCAGTACCAAGAGCTCTCACTTCCTCTCGTGCGTCGATTATGCACTTCGACTAGAACAGCGGCTCAATATTTGCCCAGTCAAGTTTCTAGATGAAGTCGGGCGTACCGCAACGATTTATGCCACTGTATACGACGACATCGTGCCTCGGAAACTCAAAGGCACTATCAACAGCTTTCTGGATTTCGCTGTGCTGTTCAATCTCGTAAGCTACGTTCGTGGCAGAGGCCTAACGCTATCGAGAGAGGAGTTGTTACATGCTTCTCGCTTGCTAGGTGCACTGGACGCAAAGAAGTGGGAAGTGTTTGTAAAGCGATTTGAACACCCTGGGATCTGGAGTACGCAGTTTGAAGAAATAAGAAAGGACATGCAACAGGTGATGGACAGCTTGCTTGATCGCGGAGGCGGTGAGTCAAGATGGCAAAGGGCGAGGAAGAGACTATCTGGGCAGAAGAAGACATGAGTCGTTGTGTGTCGTGTTTGAATCAGCTTCTTGAACACGATGGGGCAAATCTTACTGGGGCGATCGTCTTATATCATTTATAACCATGAGTTGGGATTGGTATCATCGCATCGCAGTGCATCCGTACTGTACAGACTCCGCCCGCCACAACCTTTTAACACCTGCCACGGCACATCCGTCTTCCTCCCGGTCCACCTCACTCCATCTTCGGCGCCCTCAAGTTCAAGTTCTCATACTGCGGCAACTCCCACCTCTTCTCCTTCCCCTCCGGCAGCCACCCCGCAAGCCACCCGAGCACCTTATCCACCCGCGTCGTCGAAATCGACCATAGTATCCAGCCCACGACCCAAACCCCCCAGGCTGATTCCGGGAAGAACCTCCATTCCTCCACCAACGGCCCTAGTTTCTGACATTCTTCCACCGGCTGCTTCATCTCTTCTTGGTACGCTTCCAGCGCCGCATCAACATCACTACCACACCGCGCCAGCTCGCCAGCGAGGACATACGCGCCGATAAGTGACAATGTTGTCCCCATGCCCGTAAAAGCAGAGGGACAGTACCCCGCGTCTCCGAGTAAGACAACTCGGTCTTTATACAATTGCCCGCTGGGCATCTGGACCTGCCCAATCTCTGTAGCGTAGAAATCCTTCGCCCCTTCCAACCCCTTCAGAAACCGCGGACACTCCCACCCCGCATCACCATATTCCTCGCTCCAAACGGCCTTCTGCTCGGCCACTGGTTGCTTATACGTACCCCTCATGCGACTCGCCCGCTCCTCACGGTTGTTCAAGAGAAAGAGGTAGACTTGTGTGACGGGACGATCGCCCGTGCGCGTCATTACCATGCGGTTCTGCGGACCGAAGTATATCCTTGCGAGGCTGTTTTCTGAGGGCAGGCGCGGGACGTTGTAGTATGCGGCGTGTATATTGAGGGAGTGGAAGGAAGCGTCACTGGTTTCTTGACCGAAGGCGAGGCGCCGCGTTCGTGAGGACTGGCCGTCTGCAGCGATGACGAGGTCGAATGTCGATGTCGAACCCGTGGAGAATGTCACTGTTGTTGTCTTTGTCGATGGATTTGGGGTGAGTGCAGTAACAGTCGTCCCAAAAACATACTTCAAACTCCCATCGTAACCTTGTTTATCCAGTGTCTCGCGCTCCTGGACACTAATATCATACACCAACCTCACAAAATCCCCCCTCATAAACTCAAACTCATTCGTCAGCGTCCTCCCCGGGTTTTCCCCCGCAGCCGTCACACCAAACTGCATCAAGCTCTTGCCGTTTCCATCAACGAATTCCAGCCCGCTCTCGTGGACACAGTAGGGCCGGAGTGTTTCGAGGAGACCCAGTTTGGTCATGATGGGGATGCCGTGCGCTTTTAGGTCGATTTGCTGGCCGCCTGTGCGGAGGGAGGGGTAGCGTTCTAGGATTGTGATGGTGTGGGTGGGGTTGCTGCGTTGGAGCATGAGGGCGAGGATGGGGCCGCAGACGCCGGCGCCGGTGATGAGGATGTTTAGGGGTTGTGTGGTGGGCATTTTTGTGATGGTGTTTAGGTAGGACTAGAGAGTTGTTTTGATGAAATGCTTGTATTTGGACGCACGCACAATGCAGTAGGACCAGAGAGTGAGGTTCGTAGGTAGAGGAGAGTAGGCAATATGCTTGGAAGGCAACGATTCCAGCTAGATGATAGCCGGGTCTTTCCTTCCAGGCATCTTCATTCTTATATTATCATTGCTACACAAAGCCGGCGCAGTACGATGCTCCCCCGAACGGCATTCTCGCACATTGGGGCGGAGACCGTGTTCTCCGAACTCTTCTCCGAGCGCTGTTACTACGGACATAAAGGCGTTAACCTTCAGGGATCCAATAGCAGAGCTCTGTAGACTGTTGCCTTGGCATCCTTGCTCATTCTGCTGCAGTCGGCGTCAGCGCGCATGAGTGTCTGTACGCCGTACGTCGCTCAACGAAGAAGGACATGTGCTGTTTAGAGACTGTAGCCTAAATGATGTACTACGATCTGGATTGTAATAAGATTGAAAGTCACTGGCGTTGTTGAACAGGAGTAGTTGATGGTTGACAGGATGAACGTCGTGTTGATGCAGACTTCAGGGTCTGCGGGCGGATAACCTGTCGGCGCCAAGCAAAAGTGAAGCTCGTCGCTTCGCATCACCAACACCGACCTCCGCCAACCCACCCGCCTTCTGCGCTACATCGACACACAGGTCACCAGACCCTGTACATACCAACTTACAGCCGGTTATCGCCGACGTCAGACTCTCGAAAAGTCAACAAGCCGCACACGGTCCACCAAACCTCGCAATGGCCATCCTAGGGACGGCCCTCAACGGCATCGGCGCGCTCTTCCTCACACATGCGTACGTGTACACGTAGCTCATATCTACATCTTCCCAGACAGAGGGTCAAATGAGCATCACCACACAATCCCTGCTCCCAACTAACCCCCACCAGCGTCTACTCGACCCACGAACACACCGCAACCTTCGCATCCACGCCCCTCCCCCTCGACATCTCGCTCGAACTCCTCACCTCCATCCTCATCCTCTCTCTCGGCATCGTCATATCGTTTGCGCCACTAAAGCCAATACAATACGCACAATGGGCGGGCCAAATCTCGCGGGAAGGACGACACGGCGAGGGCTACTACACAAAAGAGGGCGAGGAGGTGTTGAGTGAGGGCGATCCATATGCGTTTTTGGGTCTGGATGACGGGATTGGTGGGAAAGGGGAGGGGAGGAAGGGATTCTGGGATGTTAAGGGGAAGAGGAAGGAGTATGAGGAGTGGGTTAGGCAGGGTGGGAAATAGTAGATGGTTGAGGACAGCGGGGGAGATTTGGGTCGAAGAAGTCCAGCGGATGAGCGTGATGGACTGACAACGCGCACCGGTGGTGTGCTTGGGCATGCGTATTTTGTCACGAAGCGTCTCATACCCGGTACGAAAGATGATTGTATGTCGACCACCGTTATGCCTATCGTACATCGCCCGAATGCCCAATCTCGATGCCCCATGCCCTGTGTCCCGAATGTCCAAAACCCCAAACGCCATGCTTAAACGAGCAAAACCAGCAATCCCAATCAACCTGTTCCCATAACTCTTTCCCTCCCCAACCTTTTCCTCACACCTCACTCGTCATCTTCTCAACCTGATTTCCTCCACACCCATTCACCCTACAGGCCCAGCACTCCTTCCCCTCCATCTCCTCGCCAATAGCCGCAACATCCGCACTCTTCCTCCTCGGCCCCTCCGCATCCCCACTAACATCAACACCACTAACCCACCAGATCCCCGCCGCAATAACCTTGGCCACAACCTCCACCTCCGCCTCATCCCTGGGCGCATAAACCAGCATAAACTCCCTAGGAACAAACTTCCTGCACCAACCTCCCCTCGCAAGCGGATGTCTCTCACCCCACCCCATCTCAATCAACAGATTCGCATCCGCAGGATGCAACGTCATATGCATTGACCCATCACTCGGATGCGCATGACAAATCTCGCCTCCACACGTCCTCGTAATCGGCACACTGGTAAACAACCCCGAACTATGCTTCTCAAAGCAACTCGTACGTTCCAACAACCTATTCCCGGGAATCCGGGCAAGACCTTTAATCTTGGCTACCAAACACGCATAAACCGCCTGCCCGCTCTTCTGCGTCTGCTGTCTCTGCGGCGCGATACCCCGGATGAGCGGTTTCGTGCCTTTGCGAGTGGGTAGCGAGGTGGCGGTGAAGTAGCCTTTTTGCGGACGGAAGTGTGGGGGGATGGCGATGGGGCGGAGGGGGTCGCGGAGGCAGATTAGAGAGAGGAGTTTGATTTTTAGGTAGCCGAGGGGTGTTGCTGGGGTGCCGCCGGGGCCGAGGGAGAGGAAGGCGCGGTAGTCTTTGTGGATGTAGAGGGCTGTTAGGGTGGGGAGGAGGAGAGCGAGCGTGGCGATGAGCATGTGGATGTGCGTTTCTGTGAACATGCTTGGATGGGGTGGTGGTATGGTGGCTTCGTAGGATGGGTGTAGGGTTGTGGTGGTGAGGTTGTGTTGGTCGACCATGATGTATGTCCAGGCCCCGGGGTGATGTTGTTGGATGGTCGTCCTATAGGCAATTGAAGACGTGGAAATTGAACAAAGAAAGCAGGAAGAAGTTTGCTGACAGTCCCCTTATGACTTCCTTCTCAACAAGACAAGAGAAATACAGAACCCAGGAAAGCACAATAGCTCCGTGGCCCCAGTAAAGAAAGGAAGATCAGCCCCACACGTGCACTGCAGGAAGGAAGGTCGGTGAGTACCACGCGAGACTCAGGGTCCGCGGGACCTAAGAGGGATGACGTTGAATTGATACAACAAACAAAGCTACCACTCAGATAACCAAACGAAAGCCTCGATACAGTAAAGAATCCAGAAGCAGAAGCCTAAAAGCCCCAAGTAACCAGCTCACCGACACAACCACGAGCGCACACAACCCTTCTTATAATCCCTCAGAAACGCCAGCAAACCAACGCAGCAACCATAGCGACCGACCGACCGCCCGACGTCAACCCCGTGGTCCCCAAAACCACGATCCACGTGCCTAGCCCCGCATCCGGTTAGCACGGCCCTCACCTGCATGTTTGTGGGGTTAGCGGCCGTCGCGCTAGCAAGCCCATTGGCCCACATCACGGTGCCTGTGACGTTTGACCTAAATCAACAATGCTGGCGTTCGCTTCCCATTCTCTCTGTTTATCCACTTACTGCAATTACCTCCGTCATTCTGTCGTGGGTGCGTTTATGAGAAGATGGTCTGGGCGCTTGAAGGGTTTGCATCGCCGATGTGCGGGAGCAAGGGTGAGGGAATTGGAGGTTGTACGAAGGGAGCGGGCATGATGCTGGTGAGGGGGTTGCTGAGATCAGCTGTGCTCACGTGGTCTTGTGCACGGTTATCTTTTCAGAAGAGGGGTTTTTGGGAAGCTGACTGCTCGTGTTCAGCCTTTTTCTTACGTATGCCGCTGTTCTTGAGGTATGTGCTCGTTCGCTGTTCGCGGCATGAATTGGCGAGGTACGCTGGCACGCTTTGACCATCAGCTGGGTGTTCTGATCACCAACGGACGAACCGGAAGCTTGCCAGATGGTCATCAGGCGCAGGACTAGCTTCGTGGTATCAATACCCGCTAGTTCACGATAGCTGGTGTCGGCGTTGCGAGATGGACTCCCTGCAGCGTGCAGCATGCAGTGTGATCGAAGGAGCGGTGATGCGTGGCGCGCTGTGAGCCCTTTGCATTATCGCCGAGCTCGGAACTTGGGTTCGAGAACGTGGCTGTAAGTACACGGTCGCTTGTTTTTAGATTGAGGTGTCAGGCTTGTTCATCATGGGGATGCGTACTTGCGGCTATATATTTCGCAGTTGGGAAAGCAACTCGGTCACCTCTCAATTGCATTGACACTCATAGTGCCTTGGTATAAGCGGCACAAGAGCGAGACGGGAGAAGAGAAGAGCAATTCACTATCAAGGTTTTCGAAATAGTAGGGCTGCTTGCTGTTTGCGAAGACGGATAGGTGATGGCACGTACCATGCAGCGACGAAGACTCCCCAGATTCCCGCGCGTTCCAGCGCATCGCGCCGCAATCGTGGATCAGTCTTCCCAGGTGATCCGCACCTCAATGACCTTGTAATTGGCGGGGAAGCCAAGTTCAGTAAGATCATTATCCACATGTTCCTGCCGTCCGGACCGCGAACGACTATTCCACGACCCTTTCTCAGCTTGTCTTTTTCCAGTAATGTTGACAAATATCGCCCAGCGCACGTCAGCCTTTCTCTGTTTCTCATCTGGGACGAAGATTTCAAGCTGTGCGGAGACCACTCTTTCGAGTTGCTGTGCGTCCATGTTCTTCAGGATCGACACCACGGATTTTATCTCATCTACCATGTCAGACGGATCAGACGGAAGGAATATTTTCGTAGAGCCCCTGGGCAGAAGTTCATGTTGAATGACGGAAACCCTTTCTGGACTTGAACCAACTGAAGAAGGTCCACTTTCCGTTGTTCAGAGCTTCCAAATTTGCAGAGCTGTATGTGGATGTAACGGTTGATCGTTCGTAGACTATCATGGGGGCGCTTAACGAAGAAGACGTGCAGGTAATTGTTCAGTTGTCGTAAAGGTACGCAGGGACTGTATAGCAGCCGATTGAACGGAGACAAGTACATTGGCGCGAACTCGTCATGGACTTGCTCATGAGTATTGACAAGGTTTATGGCGTCGGTACATTTTGGTTTTAGATGGAGGAATTCGGTGTAGATGGCGTTGCGTAGCTCTGTATGGAGAACTCAAATTAGACCCGGGCAGCTAAATTACGGTATTTGGACCTCGTACCTCCAGGTAGATCAAGGAAATTTGCTCTGTGGCGGTAGTGTGCGCTGCTTCGAAACTTAGTTCTCATCGACTGGCACTGCAGTGTCACACGGCTCTTTTGACATACCTGAGCGCCATGCTGTTGTCGCAACGAGAAATAGAGTGCGTCTTTGACTCAGACTGAGGCGAGATCTTGACTCAGGCAATACTATCGAGGCGAAAGCGCATCTAGTCTTCCAAAGAGGCTTGGCTTTGATGTTCGGCGATTTGATGTCGTCGAAGAGGTGTCGTAAACAAGACAGACTCGCACCTGAGTCCAAGATAGGGCTTCCCGCCAAGACCACGCTAAACCCAAGGAATCGACGACCGGGCCGGCGTTAAGCTGTGGGCTGGTCTCTCACATCCTCAAGCTCATCACATGAATCTGAACAGTCATTACTCGTACATTGCTCTCAAATCTTCCTTGCACTTTTCCTCCCGTACCCCGCCTTCCGCGACGGTGAGATCCTACTCATCTTCCTCACTCTCGGAGACATTGTATTCGCTTTCTGGCTCATGCGCAATGTGAAAACGCACTTTGATACCTCCGCATTCAATACCAAGTCCAAAATCTTCGAAGTCTTGTTCCGTACAGTTCGCCATCAGAGTGACATCAAGATAGGTTACTAGCCCGGCACTGTTCCTATCGGGTTGAGGGGGCCTGTCAGACAAGGAGAGATCAATAGCAGCCAACTTCGCGTACAACTCATCCTCTAGTGTTCTGAGTATTGACAGGGGCGCGTCGATGTTTATATCGTCAACACTGAAAGTGACTCGAGCAGAATGAGGCGGAATCGCTATCTCTTCTTCCTCAGAGTCTGCTTCCTCCGATTCTGACTCCTCAGGTTGTGCTTCCTCAGATCTTGCCTCATCAGGTTCGTCTTGGTCTTGGTCTTGGTCTTTTTCGTCAACTTCGGTTCCTTCTTCTTCTTCAGGTGCGTCGGAGCGGCCGCAGCGGCCGGAGTGGGTAGGGCGGTTGGAGTGATTAAAGCGACTACACCGGTTGAAAGGGTCCAGGTCCCACTCAATGTTGAGTAAAGGATATCCACGCATGAATGCGACGATTTCAACGAGGTCGAGGTCCCAGAAGCTCCTGTGCCAACAGAGATCGTTCCAGTCAAGCTTTACACGGAAGCTGCAAGTGAAGTCCCTTGGTCTCTGGCTAGCGATAGGCTGGAAAGTGTCGCGTAGGAAGAGTATGACGCAATCAAGAGGTACTGTAGCGTTGCCCTGGCTCAGGTATAGTGACCCAAATTCGGAGCGAATCTGCCGATTGACTTGGAGGAACTGGATACTCTGTTCGAGAGATGGGTCGAGGTCGATGAAGTACTCGTAGACGGCGTTGCGCAATTCTATAATGTGATGGGTTAGTCGGTCGTATTTGAATAAATCAGTTCATGGACCACATACCACCAGACAACCTGTCAAGGAACGGCGCTCCGCCACTATGGTCCCTGCCACCATCATCGTTAGTTTGTTCTTTCATCAAGCAGAATGTTTGACTGCAGCATACTGGGTTGTCATCATGGTGCTGTGCAGTGGTAGCTTGAATTCTCCACCTGAGCGTAGTGGAGGACAACTTTGCTGGTGGACTGGAAGTCTATAGGAGCAAACAACATTGTGGACGACAGGTCGTTTTGTCTCAGCGTCCGCCAAGATCTGCTGTGCAACGTAGACCACGCTAGACACAAACGACCAGGCAGGCAGCTTCTTGAACTCATGATACTGCCTGAGTCCTCGCATCTACAAGCAAATGGCATGAATCAGACTCGCTATTATTCATACAAGATACTAGATGTGTATATGCACTGTAACTCTTGCGCAGCCGTCCTGGAGCACTCCTACGCCTCTTCCTCAATCTCCGAGCGCATGTACTCGCTTCGTCCAATTCCTCACTTTTCCACACTGACATCCACCCATTTGCCTAGCATCCCAAATCTGAGTAGAATATCGTCAACGTCTTGTTCTGAACAATAACCTTTGAGGGTAATGTCAAGGTCTCCGCCAAGCGACTCATCATCAAACAGAAGATAGAAAGAAGACAGCTTCTCAAACTCTTGTCTATCCATGTTCTGCAGAATAGATACAACGGTAATCCCATTTTTGTGATCGTACGCCTTGGAGTAGCCAGGTGGGACCAAGTTCCATTCAATGCTGAGCAGAGGAAAATGTCGCATGATCGAGACAACCTCAATCAAGTCGAGTTGCCAAAATTCGCATTCGGCGTCGCATTTGCAAAGCTCCACGCGGATCCTGCAAGCAACTTCCTCACGAACCAAGTTCGCAGGGGGTAGAATGAATGCGCGGAGGAAGCTGGCGATGTCTTCGGAGCAAACTGTGGCATTGCCTTGACTCAGGTACAACGATCCAAATTCAGCGCGAATTTTCCGGTTGATCCAGAGTAGTTTGGTGGCATTAGCAACACATGGGTCTGCTTCGAGGTTGATAAAGTGCTCGTAGATGGTGTTACGCAGTTCTGTCATCTCTCGTGTCAGCTTGAGTCAGTAGGACAGGCGGATGTTGCAGCAATTACCTCCAGGCAGGTCAAGGAACGATTTTCCGCCGTAATGACGCTCTCTTTCGCTTCTTTCATTAGTCTAGGCTCGTTCAAGGTGATCTTTGAGCGCAACTTACTTGGCTGACATCTCGAGGGTATTAGCTAGTGGATCGGTCGATGGAACAAGCTCGACGGAGCAAGCAAGTGCGAGTGATGGTTAGTAAAGTCTGTGCGCAAGGGAAGTAAGTTGAAATGACAGCGAGGCGTACCCACGCCTCTGCCAAGACTGCGCTAAGCTAATGAAATGAGGGAAATGATGGGCAATCTTGAAAAAAGTACGTTCACTTATTGAAAACCACTGTCTGACTTTGCCTCCACTATATAACAACATTTGCACGTTTGTGGTCGAGGTAATCAACTGGGATAGTCACTATTACTGCGTCTATCTTGAACAAAGCTGACCTCTCCACTATCGCATCTGCACGAAAGAACGGCACTATGACATCAAGGAATCTACAATTCGCAGATTAGAGTCATCTTCTGTTTCGGACTCTCAGCATCTTAGTATAGGCCCTCTCTCATTTCATACATATCCCCATTACAGACACAAGATCTGGTCTTCGTTCTCGTGATCATCTTTGCTGCTCTCTGAGCTCTTCTCCTCACTATTTGAACACTGTAGTTCATCGTATGACAATCCGCGTACCGCGCCCCAAGAATTGCCTTCCCAGTAGATTTCCACTTCGATGCCTCCACATTTTTTACGCAATCTCGAGGCCTCAAGGCTCTTGACGTCTTGCTCAGTAGCACCCCTCTTCAACATGAGAGACAGGCAAGCCTCTACTTCGATCTCTCCCAACAGGATCGTTTTGTACCACTCAAGGTCGTACAGGCAGAGGTGTGCAGATTCCAGCAGTTCGAATTGGTTGAGACTCATCTCTTTTAGAGCAGCCATGGTGTACGCAACCTCTATGTCCTGGAACGCCGCCTCCTTGCAGTTGTCAACCAACTTCCATACAACGTTAATGAGCGGGTAACGACGCATGATCGAGACAACTTTGAGCAAATCGAGTGACCAACCAGGTGTCGCACCTTCGTCGTCGGGTTGAGGTTCAGTAAGTCCCACCGCGAACTTGTAGGGGACGTCTGTAGGAGCCGAGTCGGGATATGCGACGAAGAATGAGTGGAGAAACTCATGGACATGGTCAAATGAAACCACGACTCCACCTCCGAATATCCGGTGTAGGTAAAGCGTTAGGAACTCGGCGTGGATCTGCTGATTGGTGCATGCGACACCAGCAGCATCGCCGGTCAATGGCCTCAGGTCGATGAAGTGCTCGTAAATCTTGTTACGCAGTTCTGTAATATCGTATATTAGTTTTCTGCAACAACGGAGTGTACAGGAGTTTCACCTCCAGGTAAGTCGAGGAACGTCTTTCTACGGCGTGGGTTTCCGGCGCTGTGTGTATCAGTATCGGATCTGGCTCACCAAGAAAGCTTCTGGGCACGACTTACTTGGTAGTCATCGTGGAGTTGCGCAATCGAAGCACGCTACTTGGGCAGGAGTTGAGAGAATGAGTGATTGGGCAGAGTGTGAAGAGAATTGAAAGGTTTATTGCATGTGAAGGAGCGTTTGTTTGTGCCTGCGCCAAGTCCACGCTAAAAGTGCAAGTGGGTAAGGAAAGTGCAAAAGACGGACACAGCTAGAAGATGGCACGAAGCGATTCTGTCGTTCATAGAATCTCGATAATGACTGAGTTCGTACAATGCGCCTTCTTCTTCATAAGCGCCATATCTTTGTACTCTCCTTCCGTCATAGCCAGAGTGCCATAGACCAAAAGCTGCGTGCCGCTGTGCGCTTTATCTGGCTAGACAAACCCCGAAGACTCCTATCCAAGCGCGCTACACATTAACACAGACCCTAGTCATCGCTCTCCACATCATCTTCGTCCCAGTCTGCTCCATCTTCATCACCAGCCCAAAGATCTTCATAGTTCTCCGCATCCTTCTTCTCGATCTCTGCCTCCCTGTCATCACTATCGGACTCATCTTCCCAAATGATCTTGACCTTGGCATTTCCATACTCTGCGTGAAACCCCAGTTCGTCGATCTGATCTTCCGTGACCTCGCTCTTGACAATGATGAGCAGACGAGCGCCCATGCGAGGCATCAGGACCGACAGGAAGTTACGCGTCAGCTTGTACAGCTTGAGCGTGACGAAAGCCATTCGCGCAAGGTTTGGGGCATCCAGGCTCTTGAGGGTATGAATAATCTCGGCGATGTCTTTGTTCCATTTAATGTCGAGTAACGGGTATCGGTTCATACAGACCACGACATTGAGCAGATCCACAGACCAGTCCTGGTACTCGAACAGATCGATGCTGACTCGGAAGCCGCAAGGGGCGTTCTGCAGGGCCGACTCGGGGTAGTGTAGGAAGAACACATTCAAGAAGTGGTCGATGCAGTTGAGCGGAACCTTGACGTTGCCCGAGCGAAGGTAGAGCGTGCCGAACTCAGCATGGATCTGTTGGTTGACGAGAACAAGGTTGGCGACGTCTTCAGTCGTAGGCGCGAGATCGATGAAACGCTCGTAGATAGCGTTGCGTAGCTCTGTACTCGCAAGTTAGATTGTGGCAGTTAGAAGACTTGATCAGGATTGATGTTACCTCCAGATAAGTCCAAGAAGGACGTTCCGCCGCGAATGTCTCTGCTGCTTCAACTGTTAGTTCTTGAGGATTAAGAATGCTGATCAATTCCAACTTACTTGACTGCCATGTTCAATCTCCAAGTAATAGGGAGCGATTTAAATCTCTTCATAGGAAGGGTGGGAAAGACCGTAATGAGGTAAAGTTGCTGTAGACAACGACGCGTTTTTCAAGGTCTCGCCAAGATCGTGCTGGAATAATCCAGGTGAGCGAGAAAGGGTGAGAGTGAGGACGAGCGTCACTGTCTCCTTCCCAGTTTGGGTGCGTATTGTCTCTGGGCTGCACGGACCCCGAAGTGATCTTTTACAAGAGGAAACATCAAAGACGCTACGCACCTAGACCAGAGAGCAGACTGGAAGACTTGTACAGTAAAAGTTCATTCTACATAACAACTGAATCGTTAAGTAGAGATTGGGTATTCAAATCCCCTTTCAAGATCTCAATACGCATCCTCCCTCTTCTCATACTCCATTCCCATCACAGTCCCCACCTTCTTCATCCCACTCCAAATCTCCGCATCAACCTCCAACTCCAAGCCCTCAACCTTCGTCGCCCCACCATCAAGACCCCAAAGCGAGACACCAAGGTAATTCGTTCCGTTGTAGTTCAGAATACCTTCCGTAACAGGGAACTTGACCTGCGGCCCGACATTACTAACGTATTTACCATACTGCCAGCCATTGACATAAAGCTGGACGCGGTATGCAGGAACACTCGAGCCACTGCTGCTGTTACCAGAGGAAGTGCCGTTGGTGAAAGTGAAGCTGAGCGGGATATCGTAGCCAGAAGGCATGTTGAGATCAAACTCCGTGGCGAAGAAACCGATTCCAGGAGCGGAGATGCCGTCGGCGACGGGGCCGGCGGAAGCTGTCCATTTAGTGTCGGTCGCGGAGAGAGCGCCGGGTAGGTGCAGACCCTGGCGCTCGACGTATAGACCGCCTTCGTTGAGGGGACCGCGAGAGATGTCGCGGTAATCTTCTCCACCCAGGTTACCGGTGAGCTTCCAGCTGATGTCGGAGGCGTCGTGGCCGGATAGCTTGTAGTCTAGGATACCGCGAGGGTTCTTCATTGTCTCGGTGCCGATGGTCCAGTTCTCGTCGAGTCCCTGGTTGTCGACTACGACCGTGATTGTGTACTTCTTTCCCTTGGTCAGATTGGGCATGGTAAATGTGGCGCTTCCGTTTAGGGCTGCGTCATATCCGCGCCATGAACCGAGGAATTGGTCGCCGATCCAGGCGGATGAGCCGAATGCTGAGCCACCTTGGGTGGTAAGGTTGAAGGTTGTCTCGTTTCCGGATGCAGTGAATGTGCCACGGAAGAGGAGTGTACCTGTGTGGTAGCCGTAGTCGGAGCTGTAGAGCGATACGGGGGTGTCAAGGGGACGCAGAGAGTTGTACGTCTTCTTCAGATCGGCCGCAGTCCACTCGCTGTCATCGTATCCGGGTTGGATCTCAGGAAGCGAGTCGACGTACTTCCACTCGAGTTCGCTGAGTTTGGGTAGGCTGACATCTGGCTTGGTGAATTCAATGTCGGCGCACAAAGTTCCTTGCTCGGAGGTGGTGAAGTCGATATCCTGGCCATTGAAGGTCATCTTGGACACATCAGATGATGCACCACCAAGAACCTCGACAGTGGTTGTAGCATTGAGATCTCCAGTGAGGGCGAGGGTATCGCCTGTGACCTTGGCAGTGCGCATCAGGTAGCCTGCCTTGAGAATAACAGGGTTGGACGAGTCGTGGGGTGCCTGATCGACAGCCCAGTAGTTGAAGGCTTCAACGCGGTCGACCATGTAGACGTAGATGGGGCTGTCAGCTCCAACCTTTGCCACCTTTCTACCTCCATCAGCCTTGAAGTTCAAAACTGTGACTCCACTAGTAGTCATGCTCTTGACATCGCCTTCGACGACTTCCAGTCCAGTAGCAGCAAGGGCCAACTCGTGAGTCTCTCCAGGTCCACCGTATACAACCAAGACAGTCTTGTCTTCATACTTGTGCCAAGTGAAGACTTCCGCAGTAGAGTAGACAAGGGTGGTGCCGCCAATATCGTAGTCGCTGACGTGGATCTTGGAATCGCGGCCGTTCAGCGTCAGCGAAGTGCCGTTCATTTGGGGTACAGTAATGTTGCCCATTGTCGACGTTGCAACGTTGAGCTTGTAGGCTGTGGAATCTAGCGAGTTGTACTTTGAGTGCCTTACAAAGTAGAATGTCGTCTTCTCGTTGGTGGCGGGAGTAACGCTAAGGTCACTGCTGGTAGTCCACTTGGAAGTCGAAGCATTGCCACGTGCAGCCGTGAGGTACGCAGGGCTGACCTTGAAGAAGTTTGCCTGGAGCTTTAGCTCGGAGTACTTCGCGCGGTCGACTTGACGGTCTTCCTTGATCGGTGCAGCGTAGTCGTAGCTAGTATAGCCACCGGGATGACCAAGGTTACCCCAGTTCGTGCCACCGTAAGTCATGTACAAGTTCAGAATCGTGACACCAAAGCTGTACAGTTGCTTGTAGAAGACACGGTTGAACTCTGCGCCGACTAGAATGCCACATTTGTCGAAACCTGGCCCGCCCCATGGGTCGAAGCTGCCAGACTGGAACTCAACGATGGAGTAAGGCGTAGTGGGGCTCTGCTGCTCGTGGAGCTGATGCCAGTTTGTTGGAAGATTGCCGTCTGGCCATGTGGTAGGATTGGCACAGTCGAATCCAAGAGGGTAGCCGTCATGCCCGTAAATGTCAACAGCTGCAGGTTGACCGGGAGCATTGTTGCCCTTGGCGGAGGCATCGTTGCTGATCAAAGGCACGATAATACCGGCGTCGCGAATTTGATCTTCGACATATTGCATGTAGACCGGATCTGGGAAAGGCTTGATAGCCGAAGTGGCCTGTGTGTACTCATTCTCGGGCTGAACGAGAATAATTGGTCCGCCGTTGGTGATTTGCGCAGGCGCAATTGTCGCCAACACATTCTTCATGTAGCTATTCCGCTGTTAGCAAGGCGCCGCTTAGATCCAGCTCAGAAACGTACTTGTCGGTCGCCTCCAAGAAGTCAGGCGCACGCGTTCTCAGCGTGCCGTTGACTCTTTGGATCCATCCGGGGAAGCCTCCACCAGATACCTCGGCGTTGATATATGGACCCGGTCTGGCGATGAGGTAAATGCCAGCTTCTTGTGCAGCATCGAAGAATGGCTTTAGATCGAAGACACCCTCCTCACGGTAAACACCGGGCTTGCCTTCGAGCAATGCCCAGTCCACGTAGAATGAAACACCATTGTACCCAAGAGCCTTGATCTTCTGGAAGACATCGGAGTAGAGATCAGGTACCGGCAATCTGTACGGATGAACCTCGCCAGAGTACAGGAAGATGCGTTCTCCATGTACGAAGAGCGAGTCTTCATCCCATGTGACCTGTAATGTCGGTTAGCCATCGTCATCCCAAGATATTGATTCAACTCCGCAACTTACGATATCTTGCAAAGCCTCTCTCTTATACGGCTTAATCCACTGCTGAGGCGAATACCCCACAGCCCTCGCCGCAGTCTCAACCGCAAAACATCCCAGCGCAACCGCGCCTGCAAGCTTTGAGAAGCTCTTCATATTGACCAAAATACGAAACCAAAGGTCAATTTGCTTGTAGCTCAATCAAATTTCCGAGGGGAGCGCAAGTAATATAAAGCTTCCGGAGCTTCAGACGGTATGCATGTAGCCGAACCGGGATCTTTCCTCGTTCCTGTCAGGTAATGACAGCATCGTTTCCACGCCGCTCGTGCCATTGCGATCCGAGCGCACATACCTCTTTCCCCAGCGACTTTCCCCAGTTTACCCCCATGTTGAGCGTGCTAAGACCGCGTGTTGAACCGGATGAGTAGCCGTAGCGATACTAGCATGGTCTAGGATGCGGCGAAGCGACCAAAACGCAAGTACCGATTCCACCAATATCACTACTTGGAAGCTTGCTAGCCCTGCTCGGTGGAGTCGATGCCCGCATCTCGGTTGAGGCAGGCGGGGAAACATGTCCGATGTGCGCCATGGCCGTTGCCTAGGCGGTGTAGAAGGGCGGCGATCAGTGGGGTTAGCGTTAGGGTTAATGCTTGGTCGTATAGTTGTGGATGCTTGCGGAAGCTTGGGTTGAGGCGTTTCCGCCCTGGATGAGGAAAGGCATCCGCGGTGTGATGACGACGGGCATCGGCGAATTTGCTCGGAGGTCGTTTCTTGAAGAAAATTGCGGATGGAATGACTGGGGTGAGATGCGGCGGCATGGGTTGATGATGATGGAATGTGGGGGAGAGTTACCGAGGTACGTCAATTCGGACCTGACGTAACAAGGCCTTGATCATCGCGAAAAGCAAGCGCGCAAACCCAGTGCGCGCATACAGAAGAAGTGTAGGTTAAGAGCGCTACCAATCCATTGCAACGAATCTACAAACATACTATATGATACGTGCATCTACATGTGCATAAAGATCGATCGATCCGCCCACGACTCTCCCGTCGCATGCCAACCCAAAATCATCGCATAACAAGTAAACCGCCTATGAAGAAACAAACTCCGCTACATAAATTCCCTGTCGCCCTTAGGAATCTAAATGGCACACCAATGCAGCCAGCCAAAGCAACCGTCGCAACATGCGCCGAAGAAAGAGGTTAAAGAATGTGAAGAACATATTCGCGATAAACCCATCGACAAACCAAACAGCCACTACTGTGGCGGATACGAATACCCAGACTGATAATACCCCGAGTTATCCGGAATAGTCGGAAAGCCATATTGGCCCCAATTATTGAAGTCTTGAGCACTATCACCGATCATGACATCGCCCGCCCAGCCATTAGGGAAAGTAGCAGCGCCGCAAATCTCCATGTTCACCTTCTGCTCCTGTAGCTCCTGTGGTCGTGCCTGTGGCCATGGTTGATAGACACCGTGTATCGGGACAGATGCGGGGGCTGGCACGGGCGATTGGTGGGGGTCAGACTGCTGAAAAGGACTTCTCAGGGGCTGCTGCTGAGAATTGGCGTATGGATATGGTTGGTAGGGGTGTTGTGGTGAAGTCTGTACTCCGGGGCGCATGTGAGAGGTTTGATCATAAGAAGGCGTACGGCCCCCGTGTGCGTAGGTTGATGGTTGGGTGACTGGCGGCGGAGCAGGAGGAGTTTGTTGACCATTGTGGTTGACAGCAGTGAAGCCGGATTGGTTACTGGACTTTTCTTCTGATGCACTTTGCAATTCATGCTTGACCGAAGCGGCGCTGGTAGGCAAGGTGCGCTCTGCGGAGTCTTCGTCATGCGTCAGTCTCGTATCCGCGAGGTCCTTATCCCTGTCGGGCCATTGTCCATCGTTGTCGTTAGCGTTAGCAATGTCACCAAACTGCTTATGCGTTCTTTCGAAGAGCTGTGCATAGTCTTTCAGCCCACCGCTAGCGACGCCATCGCTGGAGTTGCTCTTTGGAGAATCGTCGATCTGGCCGCTCAGTTCTCGGTACTTCTTCTTCTCGCGGCGGTAATATCTTTGCCATTCTGCTAGTTGACTGAGCCACGAGCGGGCCATCTTGAAGCGACTCAGAATGCGTAGTAGGAAGCCGTTTGCGATATCATGGGCTCTAGGGTCTTTACGAGATGAGAGGGCGTCGTCCGGGTCCATGTGAGGAAAGTAATGGCAGTAGATGGCTGGGGTGGTTAGCAATGACCAACCAAATCACTGTTAGATACTTACTGCCTATTCCAACGGCAAAACAAGAGAAAGCTACCGTTGGCGTTTGTACTAAATTGCTATGAACTTGTGAGTTCTCGATAGTATGAAGTAGTGTTGTGAAGTCGAGGCAGGCCTTCCAACAGTCTTTGGCTTGCTTGATCCAGTAGTCAGGGTCAGGGGGTTTCTCATCAATTAGTGGCTCGTCCAACGGGCCGCGGGGGTACGTCAACGTCCATGGTGATGTGGGCATGTACTCTCTGTACAACCACACAAAACACAATGTGTACATTGCATGTATCGCAACGTATTTGCCGGGCGAGTTGTAGCTACGGTCGTCGTTGTTGTCCGAGGTTAGCTGGAGGTGATCAGGAAGGTCGCGCTTCAACTGCTTGAGTTTGTCCTCCAATTTCTTGAAGCCAGTCATTGCGCACCACGGTGGATTCTTGCCTTCTTGTCTACACGTTGTCAGCCAAATATCGCGGCGGGATGAATGAGGCAAACGGACCTTCTGCCGCGTTTACAGGACCATTGTGAGACTTCTCCGAAGATCACAACAACTTTGATGTACCATGTTAGTTCTGCCTCCCCCTCAGCAACTTCCCACCTTCCCCCGTCCAGGGCAGTGGCTCGATCTGCTCCGTCGTGGTCATTACGGCGTTCCTCAGCGTGTTTGTTCCATCGTTTCCTCCGCGCAGTATACATCGCATCGTCTTCACCCAGAAGCCTTGTTCTTGCTCTTTTTCCAAAATTGAATGCGCCATCGCTACAGACAAGTTGAGTTCTTTGAAGTTGATCGGGCGTAAGCATCCTCGGCCGATCCTCCCCCCAACTCAGATAGCAATCCATGAGGACGCAGCTCCAAAAGGTACGCCGCTGCGTCTCGCGAAGTATGAATTGGTCCTTTTCCGAAAGGCCCTTTTCACAGTCTTTCATTGGTGCAGGTAGTCCGCTTTCATCGACATCCAGGTGCGGGTACCCAAGGCATATGGCAGCTCTGATAGCAACGCCGATCTTCATCCAGCCCTCAGTACCTTGCAAATTGGTCCATTCATAATACCCCAACATGAGGAGTGTTTGGATCTTTTCCACATTCGGGGACCCAATGATGTCCGTTCCCATCTGCGTGCGAGTCGCTGATGCGTAGAATTCGGCAGTCCTGATCGGGTCATTACCCATTTGCGCTACGAGCTTGTCATGGAAACGAGCAGTCTGGGTAAGGAAGGCTAAGAGCAAAGGCGCATACACGCGCGGCGTTGGAGCTTGAGTCGGAGTCTTAACTTCAGATGAGCTGCCAGATGAAGGCGGCGGTCGCACAGAGCTGAGGAAAGTTCGCTTATGCAAGAAGGGGAAGTCGGTAGAGAAATGCTTCTCATAGATGTCAAACAACTCTTCCCAGACCTGGGAAGTAAGCAATGGTGATTGAAGAGCATCTTCAGGCGAGCCCAAGCCTTCTACCGAGCGTTGCGCTGTAGTCGACGTTGGTGCTAGCAACTTGCGTCGCTTCTTGGGCGGGGCCTGGGGGTGTCAGCGCTAGCACGTGATAAGCCCAGGACGTGAACTCAGCCACGAACGTTGATATGCAACACGACTAATGGAGTATTGGGAGACAAAAAAGGATGACTTACATCAAAATCGGCCGTGCTATCGCGGCGCACAGATCCTGTGCTGCTTGCGACCGCCGCGTGGTCCCAGGTACAGTCGCGGTTGGTATTCGCGCAAGCCTTGCACGTCGTGCCCTGACCGGTGTTTTCGCACTTGGTCTTGCTTCGGCGACATCTGGTACATGCAATCTGCGAGCGCATGCCTCGTTTTGCTGAGGGCTCAGCACTGCCGCCGCTGGCATCAAGGGGCCCGGGGGTCTGCTGCGGAGACGCCTTGACGGTAGATGGAGACAGCTGCGTTAGGGGAGACTGCAGTTGCTGATGCTGTCCGGGAGGAGATGGCGGCCGTTGATGTCGTTGTTGTGGTGGGTAAGCAGGCAGTGCAGTTAGCCGCGGTGCATTCCCTCCGGTCATGGGAAGATGCGCGACGGCGCCCAGCTCAGGCGGTGCGCGAATATTGGCGATGAGTGCAGGGAGTTCTGAGAACGGAGGTGGATGAAGAATGGCGGTGCTGCGAGGCTGCGCGCGTCTTGTTGATCGAGTCTTCGGGTGATGTTGCTGCGATGTGCGGGCCGGAGAGATGGGATGGTTGCCGGAAACGCCAGTCACGGGCTGGGGCCGAAGATTACCAGACGACGACGACAAGATGCAATGCAGGTCGGAGGTCTTGCGCAATCGTCGCGCATTCCAGGGCAGCAGGCAGCACAATCTGCGGTCGCCGGATCGTGTGGTTCCAGCGTTGGGTGCTGGCTGACGTCTGCCTTAGATGCTGCGGGCACACGGGTATTAACGTTGGACCTTCCCTTCCGACGGGACGAGAGCAACTTGGCGTTGGTCCTTGCAGCGAGTCCTGCCATAGCATACCGTGGTATTTAAGCGATCGCTTCATCCGACAAACTTACCAGTCACCGCGATTTCTCTGCCGGTCTGCCGTCATGACCTTATGCTTACCCTGACAGCCCACGGCCAGACACCCAGCGGCCCAGCTGTTGGCCGCCGCGCAGTCGCAGCAGCAACCTCCCACTTCACCAGCGGCCCGGTTAGAACCGCATCTCCATCTATCGCTAATCCCGCCTGGTCCGAGTCTCTCAAACGCCTCCCTCTCTGTTTGCTCCAGCACATGAGTTGTCGCACGCAGAACAGGCGCTGACACGTGGGTGGGCCTGCATGCAGTAGTAAGGTGTCGCGGAGCCTTATGGCGCACGTACAAATACGCCCAGTCGATTGCGTTTGGCTGTCAGCCAGGCGCTTCACCGTCACCTTACTCTAGTCCGTCAGAACCATGCCCATCGTCGCCAGCGCATGTCCCGCATGGTTGTATGCAAGGCTCCGAACGGTGCAACACCTTCACATGATGCGAGCCTCTCGTCTATCTTTTGCCCCTTCCAGCTAACTACGCATATCGCTACCTATGATATCGCCAGGCCGTGTTGGCCGGTAGACGTAGCCTCGTTGTCTTACTTCCGCGGGTCTGAAAGCGGCATCAATCTCGATGGCTCGGCCTTAGCATTTGCCTCTGCCCGGCAAATCACCTCGATGCGCTCCAACGACTCTGCGTCTCAACGACGTTGTAGATGAAAGGTGCCAGGGGTTCTCGACTACCCATGGGTACGCCGCACTCGTACGTCAGGCCAAATGGGACATTTCTCCCCTCGCCACGGTTAGCGAACTATGTCGCGCATGCGCATGCGACCAAGTTCAGCCTGACATTGATGAGTGAGATTTTCTGCAAGTGACCCAATCTGGCTGCTGCACGATCGGTGTAGACCTTGCATCTTATCTGCCCTCGGGCATATTATGTCGCACCCGTTGCGTCTGTCGAGACTGTGGTACATGGAGTCTAAATCAAGTTTTGATCATTCTATCGCCTATGGCGGGAGGTGGCCAGGAGGTATTTAATGTACTTTGATGGGTCATGTAAACTTCGAAAAGCTGCTTGTAGCCTTCAGCCTCTTACACTTGGTCCGCTTCTGATCCCTGGAGCCTATGCGAGGCAACTACAGCCTATCTATCCCTCCTGATGTATCCTCCGTACGACGCGCTCGGACCACGTCCAATCGTCGCATTCGCCGTGGAAGGGCGATCTTGACGACGTTGGCCCATGATCTTAGCCATCTGATCGCGAGTCGCCTGGATAGCGGCGGCGACCTTGGACTGCGGTTTACCAGTCTCGACCTTGATGAGATCTTGGTTAGGATTCTCATCGATCTTGACCGCGGGCTTCTTCGTCTCGACCGACTTGGCCTCGGACGATACAGACGAGACGACTTGAGACCGCGCAGCCGGAGAAGGCTTCTTGGTGAAAGTAGGCATGGTGAAGCCAAAAGACGGGACGGCGACGTGTTTGCTGTGGTACTGTTGGTATGCCATCCCTATTGAGGTAAATTGAAAGCAACTTACGGCTCCTCTGGAGTCTTCACATCATCTCCGGGTGACTTTGATGTCGGCTTAGAAGACCAGCGAGAGCTGCCGAGGCCAGACATATCGTTGATCTACTGGGTGTTAGTACCGCATACCGCATACAAGACGCGTTCGACAGTACGCATACCTTTGTGTGTTCGTAATGTAGTCGTCAATGTATATACTAGTCTGAGCGTTTTGGTTCCCGAAATGTTGTTGCAGGTAGTAAGAAGAGAGAAGAAAGCCAGATCGACAAGATTATATACACCGAGGACCTCCTAGCGTACTCGTCTTCACCTTGAAAGAGCGTGAAATCGGAGTGAAGGCATCCGCGGTGACGCAGGAATTTACTGCGATATCAGAGATATTGACGCGGTGACGCAGGATTTTATACCATCGGGGAACGAGGAGTGTTTGCTACTGATACTCATAACACTCTCATGCGCCACTTTCCTCTCAGCCTGACAGCCCGCACCTACCACTTCTCAACCGCAGGCCTAAGATCAATCTCCCACGTAAAGTTCGTCTTTGGCTGGGTGTGCAACCACCAATAATCATTCGCAATCTGTCCACACATCAGCTTCAAGCATCTCCTCACCGTCGAACTATTACTCACTGCATCAGCACTCAACTTCGCCTCCTTAGGCATATCCTTCAACCACTCCTTCGTCCTCGGAATATCAATAACCCCATCAATAATCGCATGAGCGACGTGAACCTGCACATTAACACTGCATTAGCAAACCATATCCCCAGGTACAACCCAAAGAAAAACGACTGAATACTCACACCCTGCGGTCCAAACTCCCGCGCAAGGCTCTGACTCAGCGCCCTCAACGCCCACTTCCCCGTCGAGAAACTCGCCATTTGCGCATTACTCTTCACACTCGCCGTGGCCCCCGTAAAGATAAGACTAGGCGGGTGTTCACTCCCCCTCTCCACGCCCTTCAGCAACAACGGCAAGAAAGTCTGCGAGAAAAGCACTCCACCCATACCACTAACACCCAAACTCTTCTCAAAAGTCTCAACCGGAATCTCCAAAAACGGCTTCCGCATAAACGCACCAGAAGCATTGAAAATCGCTGCTGCGGCTGCGACGTCGTCGCCGAACTCATTCTTGATCGCAGCGGCAGCTGAAGACAGGCTAGAAGAAGAGGACACGTCTGTAGCGATACCAATGGCTTTGCCGCCAGCTTTGTTTATTTCCTCGGCGAGAGAAGAGAAGGATTCGGGGGTGCGGGCGAGGAGCACGACGGGGTAGGTTTGGCTGAATTTGCGGGCGACAGAGGCGCCGGTTCCGGGACCAACACCAGCAACGATAGCGATGAGTTTGGATTTGGGGGACATCGCTGGGTTTGGCTGGGTTCCGGGGGATGGCAGGTTGAGTTGGTATGGGGATGTTGGGTGGGTGGGTGTGAAGGGG